AAAAAAAAAAAAAAAAAAAAAAAAAATTAAATAATCAAAGTTTAATGACAAAAGACCTTTCAAATTTCCCAAGACTGCTTGTCGTCATATTAAACAACTCTTTCTTACTTGATGGAAATGGTAACATTAAAGAGAAAAAAATTCAAAATCTAAAGCTTTTATCTCCCACCATGAGCACAGGCCTAAACCAAAGGAAACCAAGTGTTATCTTGTCTCAGACTTGCAGCTCATAATGCAAACTCTTGCCAGGCACAGCGGCACACATCTGCAACCCAGTAACTCAGAAAGCTGAGGCAGGAGGACAAGAAGTTTGTGGCCAGCCTGGACAACTTAGGGAGATCTTGTCTCAAAATAAAAAGGAATGGACATGCAGGTCAGTGGTCCAGTACAATCCCGAGTACAACAACAAAACATTTTCTATACAGAGAAGGATTAAATATATTTAAATTTCCAAGAATTGTTGTCCAAGAGAATGGTAACAAGGTACACTAATACAGAGCGTCAAAAACAGTCCTCTTACACTTCAAAACTGACAGTATTTTGAAGGGATATCAGGATTAAGTAGGGTTGTAAAGTAAAACCTGAATCACTAGAGTATAATGTCAGTCTTTTTGAACACTCAAGCATCATAAATAACAGCATGAAAATACCAGCAGTGAATAAACCATGAGACATTTCTCTGTATTCTATAGGAATAAATTTTATATGACTCACTATGCATTTAGAAAATGGCTAAAAAAAAAAAAAGCTTCATGCAAATACAGAACTAAAAACTAGTATTTGATAAGAACTCCCAATTAAACAAAATGAAGTAGACTTTTTTACATACCATTAAGACTTCTTATGCACCTTATATCTAAATTTTTAAGCAGACTGTCATCTCGTAGGTCCAAATCTTCTGGAATAGTCTGCAATGCTAATCTTGCAAACAAAATATCAATCTAAAACAAAAACAAAACTTGAAATTCCTTATCTGTCAAAACATTTTTAAGGTACTTCTATTTTAAAGTGGCTAATCAAAGCCAAGATCTCCTCAGTGATTAAGAACATGCCAACATCCTTCAGAGTCTACAAGATATTAATACATATCTACAGGTATTCTACTCAGATGTCAAAGCATAGTAATATGAACTGGAACTTGTCCATATGCCAACTTGTTATTTTAATTATAATTAAAGGTGGCTAAATGCATGTTAAAATTAATTCTCAGTTCATACTTTATGAGTTGTAAAGGTAACTGCATAACAAAGAATGCCTAAATGTAAGGAAAATATCTTTATAGTTAGCTCAAAAACACCTTCCAATAAAATAAGGAGCTCTATATAAATGAAAACTCAAGGGACAGCGAGATAGCTCAGCAGACTAAACATCTGCTTAGGCAAGCACAGGGACCAGAGTCTGATCACCAGCACCACATGCCACGCTGGCCCCAGGCTTGCTGAGCTGCCCATCGAGACCAAGCATGGTGGCACACGCTTGTGATCCCTGTGCTGGGGAATCTGAAAACAGGAGGATCACTAGGAGTAGTCAGACCCTGTACCAAATAGAGAGAGAGAGAGAGAGAGAGAGAGAAAGAACACACTCAGATATCTATTATTATAGTATGGTTTCCTATTTAATTCTGAATAAAAAGAAAACATGAAAACTAGAGAAACACCCAGTATACAAAAACCATTTTGGTTTGGAGTTTTTGAAATCAGGTCTTGCTATATAGCCCAAGCTGGCCTTGAACTCATAATTCTCCTGCTCCCAATGCTAGAATTATAGGTATACATTTCCATGGCAAGCAATAATCAGAGTTACACCTAAGGTCAAAGCTCAGAAAATTCAAACAGCAAATTTTTTTTCATGAATAAAAGAAATAACACATTATCTGCTAATTATTTCCAAGGTTAAAACTTTCCAAAGCACTTCGTGTTTTTATAAATAAGCCAATTTTAAAAGCAGTTATTTGAAAGAGCGTATTGTAAAAAATCATTTAAACATATACTTATGGAAGAAAAGTGCTATATTGCTATACAAATTAAGTATTTGTATAGTACACACTTTATAATAAAATATTTCAAAGTATCTCCCAATTATCAAAGAAATAAACTTTATGCTCATAAAAGCAGTTAACTTAAAAGCAAATCAGACACAACTCTAATAGGTTATGATGAAATTATGTAACAAGTTGAAACACAAAAATGTAAAGACACTTCCTAAAGCAGTATTTTTTTTACATAGTATATACCAGAAAAAACTAACATTAAAAAATTCACACATCACTGGATTCTATCCTTCAATATGCAAACATTCTAAAGTTGATTTAGGTCTCTGACAAAAAAATTTTTTCCACCTTTGTAATCCATTTTGGGGAAAAAAAAAAAATGGGAGATCACTTTATAACTTACATTAGACTTTTATTTTGAGACAAGGTTTCTTTCTGAGTTAACCAAGCCAACCTTCAACTTGCTCTACACAGCCCTCAACTCGCGCTCTTCCGTCCTGTGAAGTGCTGGGATTACAAGCATGTGTCACCATGCCTGACTCTACAGATTGCTTTTTCAGGGTTTTTTTGAGACAGGGTCTGTCTTGTTATATTGTTTGCAATGGCCTTGATTTCACTATGCAGCCCAGGCTGGTCTTGAATTTGTAGCACTCTTCCTGCTTCAGTTTCCTAAGTGCAGGGACTACAGCCATACACCAAGTGCTATTTAAACATGCACAGTAAATCTAAACTAAATGAACGTAATACTACTTTACAAACTTCGTGTTTTATGCGTACTTGTTAAGGCCAATGCTTGGACTTTTCAGATGGTATTTGGCCTTTTTATGTAGCAATTTTACAAACTACTATTTCTTTGGACAATAGCCTTTTTCTGTCTAAAATTTAATAATCTTTATCGTTATAATATTATAAGGACTTTCTAGCACCATTATGTTCAACAGAAATAACACAAAAATAAAGTCGTTTCACTATCAGCATGTTCCCATTTCTTGCACTATTCATGCTGAAAGCTCAACAACTGGAGCTCTACACTAGAAGTCTACCCCAGCGACAGCAAAACTATGGCACATGCGCTGCAGCAGGACATTTTCATCACTGAACGCTCTAAAAGGTTAGCCATCACTGCTCCAGGAGAAAATAACACATACAACGCTTCACACTTTTGTTACTGCCTCTATGAAACTAAAACAAGAAATTTTGCTTATGAAAAAGTATTTTGTAGTAGCACTTCAGTCTTAAGGTTTTATTACTCCTATTTCAGCTTTTAGTTTAACTTGGTACTGAAGAAAAATAAACATGGCAAATACTATAAAAAAGAAAGTGACTTTAAAAAAAAACCTTGTTATTAATAATTCTAATTCCAAATTTTTATTTTATTTTATTATTATTATTATTTTTTTTTTCGGAACCAGGGATTGAACTCAGGCCCTTGTGCTTGCCAGGCAAGTGCTTATTCTACTGAGCCATCTCCCCGGCCCCTTTGAATCTTAAAATAAACCAAATTTTAAATCCACACCTAATCAAACTTAATGATACCTTATAGCAAGAACTGTGCATCTGAATCACACCTTACCTCTATCCCATCAAAACAGAGTTTGATGACTGGTACAAATGCCTCTTCAACAGCCTTTAAGGAAAGTGAAAAAGTTTAGTTTCTGAAATTTCACATTAAGCCTATACTACTTTTAAGCACTTTAAAGTGTGTGATTTCTAAAATTGCTTAAACATAATGCAGCATAATGCCAGATACAAAATAAGTTCTCAGCAACTAGTTTTGACCTTTATGCTCCAGGATTCCAAACCTTGACTTCTGTCATTCATCAAATGCAGAGCTATGTGCATAATTTGTATTTATTTTGTTTGCCTCTATTTCTTGATCTATAAAAAGTTTACAGATTTATGACTTTAGGCTTGTTGTAAAGAACCTAATGTAAATACATGTTAAGTGCCCTGAATGGCCCGGCAAACTGCAATACCTCAAAAAATGATGGCATCCCATAAAATTCACTTAACTAAGCAGACTTTTGTAACTCTTCCCCTCACTCCCAAACATTTACATACTCTTAAATCTTTTACTTCTTCTTGTAATTTCAATTTATCATAGAATGACGTGAAAAAGTCACTTCGATCAACATGTCTCGGTGCAACACACAATGCATCAATATCGGCACCTAAAAAATAATAATCCCATCAACCACTAGTACTAAAAGAAAATTATTTTGCATCTTATGGTAGTATTTGACGTTAGCAATCTGTTTATTGTACTGGCAAGATCTAACTGTATCAACTCAATAAAAATTACCAGTCGGTAGAGCTGAAAAGCATGGTTCTAACTGACAAAGCGTGCTTTTTTCTGATATACCCTGTGTTTTAGAGAACCCAGATAAACCTACAATGTACAGTAAGTCGATTCAGGACTTTCATAATGAAGAGGGAATTATTTAAGCATAGGCTCTATGTCCTTGTATCAACCAATATGCTAGTTAAGCAACCAAAACTGTTTTCCATACATACTATATGACTGGTGCTTACATACTATTGTATCAAAAAAGGAGAGCTAAAAATCAATTATTGGGATCACAAAAGGGAGAGATTATTGTGAAGTCAGGTCACTATCATTTTTCTAAAATATGAAATATTACAATGCTGAGTATGTAGCTCAGTGGTAAAGAGTTTAACATGTGTGAGGCCCTGTACTATCAAAATTAAAAAAATGTAATGAAAAGGAAAAGAAGAGGCAGTGAGACAGCATCCTAAAGGCTATTTAGTATTTTCACAAAGGGGGCATGGTTCTACCTGTCTTTCTGCTTCCCTGAATAACACAGAACACATCAATGTGATATTACTATGACAGAATAACAGAAGACAAGAAAACACAGCTGAACACAAAAGAGTATTAATCATCATATTTTTAAATCTGAGCTCAGATGTTAATAATTAAGAAATATGGCCTCAAACTGATGGGCTCCATCTACTGATTTTGCCATAAATAGCAAGAAACTCTTTCTCTCTCACACTGCTGTGTTTGTGAGAATAAAAGTACTGGGCAAAATAAAATAATGAAAATTAAGAACTTAGTTTAGTACCCACTTTAAAAAGTTTAATAAATGTTTATTATGAAAACTATTTTTGTGGAGAAAATAGCAAAAGATTTATGAAATAAAATAGTGATAGTGATAACAACGGCAAAGAACTGGACATGGTGGTGCATACTTGTAAAACCAACACGTAGGTGGCTGAGGCAGGAGGATCCTTGTAATCAGCCTGGACTACAAAGTAAGCTCAAGGCCAGCCTGACTGGCACAGTGAGACCTTGTCACAAGAAGACCAAAAAAAAAAAAAAAAAAAAAGACAAGAGACATACACTGGCTTGTGTTTTGCTAAGCTACGTTTTATAATATGTCTATAATAAATGTATGTAAGGTACAAAGAAATGACGAACAGCATGTTCCAAAAGAACTTTACTGTGAAAAATACTCTAAACACCTGCAATACCCAATGTAGTATCTAGTAGCTGCACTGGCTACTGAATAAAGTGTGGCTAATGTCTGGGAGCTGAATTTTTCTTAATTTTAGTGTGCACTGGACACTACATGGAAGATGTAATTTTGTGTCTTCTAAGACTGTCAAGTCCTTATTCTTCCATGCAAACCTAAGCTTGTACAGGATTCATAAACAATGAAAAAGAACATGTCATTATAACCCATGTTATGTAATCCTTAAAAAATATATTCCTTCAAGAGAAACAAATTCTGTACCTTTTGTATGTACTCCTAATCTGTAAGATCCAAATGTAAAAATTTTTCCTCCAACATTTTCAATTACAGACTGTGGAAGATTCTGTTAAAACAAACCAAAGAAAAAGTCAGTAAAACACAAGGGTAATTTTTATAATTTTTGACAGAGTTTGGGTTTTTTCTGAGACACTACCACAATATGTTGTCCAAGGTGGCCTTTAATTCAACATGTGGCCTAGGTTAGCCTCCAATTAGTGACCTTCTGGCCCAAACTTCCCAAGTGTTGGCATCACAGGTGTATACTACCACATCTGGCTCACACTGTACTTCTAAAAAACCAACACAAGTCAGGTGATGGGGGGGCCACATATGTAATCCTAGTGACTTGGAAATAGAGGATCCTTTAAGCTCAGCAGCTTAAGGTCAGCCTGGGAGACATAGCAAGAGTCAACCTCATATCAAAAAGAAAAATAAATAAAACAATGCCAACTTTTATGAGCATATTCAAACATAGAACTTTACCAAAACCAAACAGTCCTTCATAGATCAATCTAACCTGACAGTCAAGCAATTTCCAACTTCTAATAGTGTTCTTTGGTAGACACACACTGCTCTAGAATTTGCTACATTTCTGGAAATCATAAATGGAGATCAAGTTATTCCACAGAAGCAATGTTAATTAAAATCAGGGCATTTGTTCATGACGTAGGTCCTACATAAGTCATGAATATTAGATTCTAATAAAAAAATATTCTGAACACTTAAAAGGTATTCAATGTTAATACTAAATATCCCACAGAATACTGCAGTATAACTTTCCCATTTCGAAAGTGACTTCAAAGTCACTAGTGCTAAATTAATGTTTTTTTCAGATTTGTGAAACACTTTCACATTGAATGATTTTTTTAAAAAAACAGACTTAGGAGTGTTTTTTTCATTCAGAACTATCAGAGAAAAAAGATGAAGCATTCAAAAACTGTCTTCCTACCATGGTGGTACATTATCTATAATCCCAGCACATGGGAGGCTGAGGCAGGAATATTGCTCTGAATCTGAGGCTAGCCTGAACTAAATGGCAAGGTCCTATCTCAAAACCAAATCAAGCCAAGTGTCTTCTAGCTCTAGCACTACAGTAAAAGGACTACAGTAAAAAGATTACTATAAAAGGACTACTGTATATTCAGTGGCCCTGTTCATATTTGTCCCAACATAAAACAGAAAGGTCCTTTCACTTTCCAATTCCTTAGTATAATAATGCAGTTGGTATCATAACACATACAGAATTACCCCCCTTCCCAGGGCCGGCCAGATAGCTCAGCAGATTAAAGTGCCTGCTTAGGCAGAGGCAGGGACTGGGTTCAATCCCTGGTGTGCCTGCCCCACCCCCTGGGGTGTGCCGAGATGGCTGGGCCTAGTGGCGTGCGCCTGTAATCCTAGCACTTGGGAGGCTGAAAACAGGAGGATCACTACAAGTTAAATTGGGGTAGTGAGACGCTATAGACCCCGTACTAAATACATTAAAAAAAACCATTCCCTACACCAAAAAAATTTAAAATGGCACTAATCAAAGTGTTACTTCATATTCTAAAAGAATTCTAAAAGTTTCTAAAGATTCAAGAAAGGCCAACAGTCATTCTACCTTATAAAGTGTTGCCCAACTCTGAAACTGGAAATAAAACCAAATCTTTAAACTTCAAAGATTCAGTGACTCTTGTTGAAGAGGGCTTCTATAACCATTACAATAGAAAAAAAGGTATGAAAATTGTTAACACTGTTAAGTATGGCCTCTGCTTTCTTATATTTAGGTATTTATAAAGATCTGCAATGTTCATCTGGTTATTTAAAATAAGATAATGAGCTATGTGTACAATTATAGTCATAAAAGTTAAAAACTACAATGAGCTGATGACAATGGCAATTAAAACTCATACATTTAGTGGTCGCTCTGAGACAAAACTGAGGATATGTGCACGCTATGTACCTCTAATGTCCAACAGAACAGCGACTATATTCATCACCACCAACTACCTGAAATCTGGCTAGTGTGATCAACATGTTTGTTCCCACTAGCATAAACCACTGGTGGTACAAACAAATCTAATCACCTTTATCAGCTTTTTTTAACTGATAAAATAAAAAGCCACCTGATGGGACAATCACACATGTACCATCTACTAATGGTTCAAGCCATGGGACAGTGAAACATGAATTTTATATAGCCTCTTCCTGAATATGTTAAAAAACTAAATGTTTCATTCTAATTCTAACTTAAATAATCACATGTAGGTTAGACATTACTATAGTACAATTCTAGAGATTCCTGTACATATCCTATTATGGTCACTGTAATCAGAAAATAAAATTTATTAATTTGGGTTACAGAAAAAAGAACTTTTTCAAGAAAAGCAGAGTCAAAAGTTTTTGAATTTTTTTAACTATGTAGTCAAGATAACCTTGAATTCAAGGCTGAAGCAGGTGGACTGACGCAAGGTCAAGACCAGCCTGAACAACATAGTGAGAACTTGTCTCAAAACAAAACATTTCTCTTACCAAGATCTAGTCACAGATCCCTCATAGTAACTTAAAAGAATGCTGCTATTAAAATCTAAAAATAGTGATAGTTTGATAAACTAATATCAAGACTATTAAAAAAAAGTCAGCCTATTGTTGTAAGATTCCTTAAAAGGAGATGGAACAGTGGAAAATAAGCACTTCCCTGGCAAGTGTAAGGGGCCCAAGTTCAATCCTGGTTCCGGAAAAAGAAAGAAAGAAAGAAAGAAAGAAAGAAAGAAAGAAAGAAAGAAAGAAAGAAAGAGAGAGAAATCCAGACCCTCATGCATGTTAAGAATCCCCCCTTTTTAGAAAAACATCTACTGCTTCACTAAAGAATGTAAGTAGTTTAATTACTGAGTTCAGCTTTGAAATGTTGCAATCAAAAAGTATTTAAAAGAAAAAAAAAATCAGTAAGCTGGGCTGATTTTTTTTTCTTTCAAAATAACTAAGAAACAAAATATAAATTGATTATCAAGGGCTGGCCAGATAGCTCAGCAGATTAAAGTGCCAACAGTCTAAAATGAATGCCACATTAAAGACTTTAAATTCACTTAAATAGCACCAAGTGAGGTAAGACAATTACTGTGTTCTATTACTATATACAAAACATCACCTTACCTTGCTTTCACTGATTTCTCGTATCCATTCTTTCACCAGGTTATTTAATTTTCCCAAAATTAAAATCCTGTTGGTAAAGTAATTGTCAAGTATCAAGTTGTTTTTCCATATCACTATGGGTTGTACAGTCTTAAATAGATATTTTTCTAAATTTTACATTTAAGTAAACAGCTGCATGCAGAAGCGAGTTATATATAGGCAATGTTTCACTGGGTAAGGTCCTTTCTTCTCCTGACTACTCTGCATTGTAATTACCAAAACCACCAAATATCAAAATAAGAAATCTATTTGGAAACTATTATCTTTCTTAAGTAGCACTCTTGACCAAAACACAAATCTGAAATAATGCTGACATTCTAAATGAGTACACAATGCATTAATTTCCATGTTAATAATATAAACTACAGACACACAGAGCCTATCTACCTGCGCTGCAGTTCTTCTTCCTCTTCAAAAACCCCGAAGGGCTTCAGAGTCTCGATGAGTTTCTGTGTCAGCACCCAGTCGGTCTCCTTAGGGGCTGCTAAACTGATAGGCGAGGTGATGCCATAGTGCTTCTGCGGTGGCTGCGTCTGTTGTGATCCCTGTGTTGTAACTGGACTAAAAAATGGATTTGGGATTAAATTAGTGCAAAATTTCTACAATTTACAAACCATTATGACTAGAAAAACTGCATCAGTAAAATACATTTCTAAACAATTCATTCCCTGTGATACCACCAAAATTTTTACTTGGGTGTGTGTGTGCGTGTGTGTGTACACGCATGTGTAAGAAATTGAACTCACAACCTCATGCTTGCCATTTGCTGCTGAGCTGTATCCCTGGCCTAAAATTTTTACTTTCAAAATACACTGTCTTACTAAAAAACATAACCAAAAGCTGGTGACCAGAAAAAAGTTATTTCTCTTCTTCCCTCAAGGACTTTAACTTCACTACCACCTAAGTCTCACTAAGCTATAAGAATATGAAGCATACGCACTACTAGAGAAAATACAATACAAAAAAACTTGTGAGAAATATTTCCTATTGAAACAGTGAAGATCTCTGTTACCTCTAAAGCATTAATAAACATATACTTCAAAAATGCTATTTTTGCAATATATGAAAAAGTGTTCAGTATCACTCGTCATTCGAGAGATGCAAATTAAAACAGATTCTGTCTCACCCCAGAAAGAATGACAATCATTAAGAAATCAACCAATAACATGTGCTGGAGTGGCTTGAGGAAAAGGGAACTCTTCTCCATTGCTAGTGAGAGTACAGACTGGTGCAACCAGTGTGGAAATCGGTGTGCAGATTCCTCAAAAAACTAGCCCTGGAGGTCCCATTTGACCCAGCTAGTTCCCTTCTATGTATCTTCCCAGGAGACGAACATACCACAGAGCCAATACGTGCACCTATGTTTATAGCAGCACAATATATAACAGCTAGATCTTGGAAACAACCCAAACACCAATCAACTGAGAAACTGATTAAAAGGTATGGTCTTTTTACATAATGGAGAATTACTCAGCTATAAAGAAGAACAACTGAAAATTTTTATAGATAAATGTATGCAACCTGAGACCAGACTCAGAAGTGAATTACCCAGATGCAAATGTATAAACATTCAACTATCTCCCTAGTGTGAGAAGCTGAAAAGAATGAAAGTGATCCAAGATGCACGAGATTGTAAAATAGGAAGAAACTTCAAAAGGAAAGAAAAACTGGTTTAGAGGGATAAGGAAAAGGAAAAAGCAAAAGGAAAAAAAAAATACATACATACATATATATATATATATATAAAAGAGGGTAAGTATGCTGCTGATTTCCCTCAGTTCATTAAAGGGATAGGCTTGGGCTAATATTGTTGGAACAATTAAATGCTGACATCTTGTACTCTGAGTAACTGATTTGAAGGTAACAATATGCACTGTGTTCACCATTGTTACCCTCCTGTCATATTGTTCTGGAATTTTGTTGTTTTTTGATTCTTTTTCTTTAAAAATATTTTTAGATGCTGTTTTTGCCAGCTACAGAGGTTACGTAACCTCCAGTGTGCTGGGATTACAGGTGTGCATCACTTCACAGGGATACATGTCAACATTTTGGTGGTGATGGGCTGAGGAGACAGCTCAGTGGAATAAATGCTTGCCTGGCAAGTGCAAGGTCCTGAGTTCAATCCCTGGTACCACAAAAAAAAAAAAAAAAGATGGGAAAATAAATCATGTCAGTTGGGACATTTATTTATTCAAAATGTAGCCACATTATCTAGCCATGGAATTATAAAATAAAACCCAAATTTGTTCCATGTAATTCAAGAAAACGTGTTGTATGTGTATACAGAATTCAAAAGACATGCATAAAATAAGCAAAAATAAATCACAACTAGTTAAAAAGAAACAAATACATCTTTACATGTTATAATGGGTGCTGTAATTCATCTGCCTCACAGCCAGGTGGCTGTCATTCAAATTTAAGCACTATTCTCACACTTGAACCACAGGTGGTACACACGACTGTCTCATCAAGTGTGTTGTATCACTTCTTAGAGACTCTTTTACTACAGTAATGCAAAGAGAGGTAGTGATTAAGCAGACCACATATCACTGTTTTACAGTTCGTTAAGTAAAACATTAAAATCATATAAAATACAGCTAATTTGTAGTACAGCAGTTGTGAATGTATATACTCAAGCAATGTTATAAGATTTCCACGTTAAAATTCAGAGAATTACTGTTATTCATGAATGTAAATTTCTTTAATGAAATAAATTTGTTGATTATAAATTTTAATTGGTATAGATAGTATTAACGTTTCCATTTGGGCAGTAATCATTCAAATTAAAGCAACTAAATAAAGCCCATACATACTCTATTAATTTTATCAGTAAAATGACTGGTAATAGTGACCAGATCCATTGATACCACCAGCAGTCTAAGCTGCTAATCAGATAGCCATAATACATTCATCAGTAGTGGAGGCAGGAGGATCACTTCCAAGTTGGAGGTCATCCTGGGCTACAAGAGTCTCGGAGTGAGACCACCCAGGGTCTGTGGATCCTGAATAGACAGTGCACAGGCCAGGCATGTGAGTGAAACAACCTGGGGCCCGCGGATCCTGAAGAGACCCAGAGCGCAGGCCTGGTGTGTGAGTGAGACCTCCTGGGGCCCACTGGATCCTCATTTGACCCAGAGTGCAGGCCCAGTGTGGAACTCTTCAGCAGAACTCCCTGCAAAACGAGGCAAGACCTATCCAGCTGATTCAGGAGCAGAGCATCTTGCCAGAGTGATAGAAAGGGTTCAACTTCAAGGGCTGCAGCAGGAAGAAGTGGACTACAGCAGTCAGACCCCAGCCAGATCCAAGCAGTACCCACCTGGAGGAATCTGAACTTCGTAGATCTGGACCTGGTGCTAAGGTATTAACTCTATCTAAGCTCCACACCAAAGGTTAGAAGACAGTGGTATACAAAATGACAAAGAGAAGGAACAAAATGCAGTCTCAGGCCCCAAGTCCACTCAGTACAATTGCAGAAGACACTAGCATAGAGGAAACTGGAAATCACACTCCGGATATCTCTGAAATAATAGTGTTGGAAGTAAAGAAACAACTGCAGAAAGACATAGAAGAAATCAGATCAGAAATAATTTCTGAACCAAAAAATGTAGTTATAACTATAATAAAAGTACTAAGTGCTTCTAAAGAATACACTGATAAAAAAAAAAAATAGAGCAGAATATAAAAATGGTGGAACCCCTGAATAAGCAATTTAGGAAAGAAACAATGTATGAAATAGATTCAAAGTGATATACAAGGAATTAAAACCTCAATCACAAGATGGCAAAACCATTTGAATGAAAGTGAAAATAGAATTTCTGACCTTAAAAACACCATTGCAGCTAATGAAAAAGAAAAGATCTCTTAAAAACAACTAGGATGCAGGAAAAAATAATTCAATACCTGCAAGACAGTGCAAAGATGAACAATGTGAGACTAATAGGCATCGATGAGGAGTCAATACAAATGATATAAAAAGAATATGAAAAAAAAAAAAGAATATGGGCAGAAGTAATAGCAGAAAACTTCCCAAATATGGGGCAACAATCTGACATTCAGTAACCGAAGCATAAAGAACTCCAAAGAACATCAACCCAATTAAATCCACACCCAGACATATAATAACCAAGATCCCAAAAATTCAGTATAGGAACAGAATAATAAAAGCCGCTACAGAAAAGAAACGGATCACATTTAAAGGAAAACCCAGCCTTTCTGCTGGTGGACACCGCGGAGGAAGCATCATCAGGCTCTCTTCCGACTGCCGTCA